GACGAGGCCACAGCAAGCTAGGCACAGGACATGAATTGCACCTGAATCATCTTACACTGTTAGGTACTTTTCCTGAATTTGTTGCACTTTTTCCCTGCTTGCTCATCCGCCTCGATCAGACGGCACGACAGAACCATAACGACCGGAGGCTGGATCGAACGTGGCGACTGACAAGGCTCAACGGTCCGTCTACGCGGACCACACCGGTCACCGCTACTGCGTCTACGGTGAGCATCATGGCGCGCGACGGTCGAACTGTCATTTGCTTTCTCTGAACAACGTAACCCCTTCTCTAATTACTGCAGACTCGGCGTTCGATCGCGTGTCTCAGTTGCTCCCACACATCAGCAGCCTTAACAACCAAAATGTAAAAAAATCCCTTTTTCCGGACACATTGTTGGACTTACTGATAATTGTTCAGAAGATGAGCAGTTGCAGTGGAGGAGTTCGCCCGACGCCAACGGTCTTTAAAACCTAAGCCCATTTCAAGCCGACTTTATTTTTGAAGTAAGACCGCGGTACCTTGAGTTTGCGTGTTCAGATACACCATTTATTCCGTGCAAAACAAACCCCGAGAAGCAATTCAAATCGTCTTCCATTCACCAGGACCGATTTTGCAGTTAAAATCTGAAAACAACAACGGCTGCGTCAAGGCGCCGCAACCATAAAGTTTGTTAGTGGTTGAGGTAAACATTAAGTTGGACTGAAAGCCGAGTGAGTTAGCCATCGTCAAACAAAGGCGCGGAATTGTCAAAATTTTCAAAAGATCCCCTAGTAGTTTCTCAGTCTAGTTGACAAAAAAGGTCACTTTCCCATCCGTAAAATTACCCTTCTGAAGAAAAATCGCGTTCCCTAGTGGCATTTTGTTCCTGGTAATTGTGCCTTCTTCCCCAGCCTAGGTCTGAAATCACAAATAATTTGGTTTTCATGGAAATATTTTTCAAAAGCAGTTCGACATGCGTGGTGGCTTTGTAAACTACCCAAGCCTGTGGCAGAATTTGGGAGCGGACCGTTTTTTCGAACTTTATTGTTGATACTGTTGTAAACAAAATCGAGTTTTGCCGAGTTTCTTATACCTTTCCAAAGATAAACGAAAACATTTGGACCAGTTTTCCCCTTTCCATGGGGGCGTTTTTGGGGACATTATTGTCACTGCCCAAAAATAATAAGAAACAGAGGCTTCATTAATGCTACCTAACAAATCTCGTTCCCTTCCTTTGAACGCATTTCTGCGGCGTGCGGTGGGCAACAAAACTCTGGGAATATTGTCCGAAATGTCTCGGTAGAATTTAGCACTTAAAGGTTTATAGAGGAGAGGCGGCAGGACTGACGGGGGAGTGGACGTACTTCCGATGCAGTTCCCACACAGTAGCCTGCCGACTTCCCAGTGTAAACCTTTCAACTAACTGCGCATGTTACCCTCGAAGCAAGCCTGGGTATATCATCCGCAATTGTTTCACTGATTTACGCTTCCTGTGCAAACCCGTCCACAGTTTGCAGAGAGTATGTGCATGCAAGACAAACGTCTTTTTGACAGTTTTGCCAGAATTTAGATTCCTTGTGATGCGTGTATTTTATTTGGTAAGTCCAATAATCCAGGGGACTATTTATTCGTACTGACTGCGCTGTGGCAAACTTGGCGCCTCGGTGGGATTCGAACCCATGACAGCAAGGAGAGGGTTTTAGTCCAGCCAACATTCTAGCCACTTGAGCTACAAGGCCCCACCGGAAGACGTGAGTATAATCATATTTAAGTCAAATTACTCACCCAACCCACTGCAACGTCTGGAATCCACAAAATTTGATACAGTAAGCGGATTGCTCAAGCAGCATGTTCTAAGTAATCCACCTTGAATCCACCAGATGAGTACCAGGTTCACGTAATTCATAGTTGTTTTGGCAGACATTAATTATTCCAAATCTGCCAAAACAACTAGGAATATTTATTCCTGCATCCTTAGTCTAATCCTAACCTCACCTATGACTCAGACATTCACCCTAACCCTAACTTCGACTCTAGCCCTAACTCTGACTCAGTACTTGACGCCAAACCTGACTTTAACCCATTATTTGCAGCATAAGCTTACCTCATCTCATGGGCAATCTCGATTTCTAAATTTTACGGTGTAGGAGAAAAAAGACTTTGGTAAACTTATACTCTAACCTTCAAAGGTCATCCGGTTATCAACATGTATAACACTAAGCAATCCCATTAGGGTGCGCGCAGTCAACGGAAGTTTGGACACGGTAGATGCGGGGACTGCATCAGGTTCTTCTGTGCGTACAAAACCGGCTTTCATAGCCTGAAAGAAGTCGCATTTGTTGTCGGTAGCAGACGCTGACTCAGTGGCATATCATAGTTAGGTGGGACCCCGTAAATCTCACAGCGGGCTTCATTGGGGTCCACACGATGCCCGAAGTCAACACTGTAAGAGCGAATGGCACTGTTTGTGCTTTTACAGTGCGTGACCTATCCGATGAAATGTTGGCTGAAATTCTGAAATGCGTTTTCGATTAGGAAGGATTACTTGGTCGCGGTTGTAATACGGATTATCCTGTGGCAGAGTCTTATAACATTTCGAACTGGGCAAGATGTCGGCTTTTAAATACACTCCTTTTTAATCTCCTGTAGAAAGCGTGCTTGGTAAAAAATGATTGCTTAAGTAGCATGCATTTTTCCCATTGATTTTCGATGGTCTTGGAAATTCAAATACATTCTTTATAGAAACCACAAACAAAAATATGCTTTCTTTTAGTCAATAAATAGAGAATCACGTCTTCTTTATACTTAAGGAAGGAGTATAAGTAGGTTTTGAAAAGTTTTCTAATTGCCAAAAAATTTAGTGCCTGATTATTCGTTGAATTAGGGCTTAATGATTACACTCTACAAGGTGCATGCGTTCCGCGTAAAGAAAATCCCATGTTTTTCTATGTCATTATAGAGATATCATACAGAGTCCATAAAATTTTGCAATGGATGCGGACCATGTTGTACATTTCATGAGGAGCAGTGGTAAACGGCCAGGTACGATGCTATGTGAATGGACATATCGCGTTCTTAAAGAGTCTCATAATTAGAAACTTTTTTAAAACCTAAGTATACTCCTTCCTTAAGTATAAAATATAAAGAAGACGTGATTCTCTATTTATTGACTAAAAGAAAGCATATTTTTGTTTATGGTTTCTATAAGATATATTTGAGTTTGTAAGACCATGGAAAATCAATGGGAAAATGCATGCTACTTAAGTAGTCATTTTTTACCGAGCACGCTTTCTACAGGAGATGAAAAAGAAGTGCAGTTGAAAGCCGACATCCTGCCAAGTCCGAAATGTTATAAAAAAGAAACCGTAAGATAATCGGTATCACAACCGCGACCAAGTAATCCTTCCTAAGCGAAAACGCATTTCAGAATTTCAGCCAACATTTCATGAGATAGTTCACGCACTGTAATTTTGCCTTTTCGTAAACATGTCGAGAGACGTTTCCATACCCTATCGGATAGGCGCCTACTCGTGCGAATGACATAACCCTCATTGTTTCCTAGCGCATTGTCTCTAAGTCCTTCCCCATCTCAAAACCCACTTGTAGGAGAAGACGGAATGTAGTCGATTTCTCCCATCTCCCCCATGCTTGCTTGTGCCCGTTCTCGCATAAATTCCCCGGCCTGACGAGAATGTATCGAAGGCCCACATATGCTCACTAAATGGTCTTCTGAATTCTTGAGCGTGTTCGGACAGGACTTGCCGCTACACTTACGCTTAGGGTTTCCGTACTACAAACCATACGATTTCCATGCAGCTGAAATCAGACATTCCTTTACGCTGGTAAGGGATGCTATGTAGGTTTCATAGAATTGAGAGTCTTAGTAAGGGAAATCAATAAATATATAGATAGGATATTACAGTAACGGACATTGCAGGTCCTTAAAATTGAATGATATCAAACACATTCTAAACCAAAACTATACTATTTGATGAATCATTTTTTATCCAGTATGTTTTCTGTATATTTCGAGAAAAAAACGAATTTAAAAGCCGCCTGCCTGCCTGATTAGGATATTTTGGCATTATATTGTATAATATACAATATAAAAGAAGGCTGGAGGGCCATCGCTTGGATCAATTATTTATTTGTCCAACGTCTCAAACTCACACGCCAGTTCATCGTCAGGGAATGAAGTAATTGCACAACACATTGCATATTTAGCTCACCTCTGCGGGATATGACCTCTAGCTGTGCTGTTGATCTGTTCACGCGGTGCTTGATAAGCGGTTAGCAGATCAATATATCGATAGATCAAGTCTTCATTTCAGTTCCACGCTTCCTGCAGCAGGCGCGCAACTCGATCGTCTGACTGGCCCAATATTCTGACACGCTCAAGGTCAAAGCTGTGCTCTGACGAGAAAGCGTGGAGAGTCCATATGTCTCACAGCCAATTCCTGTTCGTGCGATCTCGTGCGAACCTGTTGGCCGGCTTCACCAACATAATTAGCTTGTCCATAATTGCAGTCTGTCCGGTAAATGATCTCCGATTTCGGATTGGTTTGAATCGAGCCTTTCTAATCAGAAGCCCTTGTAAAAGTTTCGGTCGACGTCTAATGAGGCAGTAGGCATGCCGTTCCTATGCTGTACGAGTTACCATACTGACAGAACGCGTGCCAACCAAAAGCCCAGTGGTATGCTTTGTCGATACTCCGCCTCTGCATGACACAGTTTCGAGGACCTCGGCTCATCAGTAGTCCCCCCCCAAAAGCGTTCCCCGTGAGCTATCTTGTAGATATACCATTTTTTGAGTTTTATGAACTCAGCCTGGGAGTTTGTGTGAATATTTTGAGCCGAAATCCATCACCAAATAGAGAATAACCGCATAGTACTCCGAAACCGCCAACAGTCAGTCAACAGTGTGTAAATGTTGCATGATTTATTATATCGAAAACTGTGGAGTTGATTTTCTATAAAGTGTGCAAAGGAAGTGACTTCCTACGTTAATTTGCAAAACATGATTACACTTAAGCCGGCATTCGAGGACAAATGCGAGAAAACAAGCTTGCAAGAGACCATTAATGGCCTCGTCTTCTACGGTCGGTACGTGGACGATATCTTCTGCCTGGCGGATGGTACCACCGATACCGAGGAGCTTGTCCAAAAGTTCAACAGTGCGCACCCCTCGCTAAAGTTCACTGCAGAGACCGAGGCAGATAACGAACTTGCCTTTCTCGATGTCCTTCTGCACAGGCAAGAGGATGGGTCTATCCAGCGCAGGATGTTCCGAAAGAAAACCTGGACGGGACAATACGTTACTGTCCACAGTTTTGTTTCCCTAAACATCAAACGGAATTTAGTCCAGGGATTGGCGGCTAGGGTGAGACGAATCTGCTCACCTGAAGCTATTGAAGAAGAACTTCAACAGCTGCGAAACACTCTTCGGGAGAACGGATACCCAGATAGATTTATCCTCCGAAATATTGGGGAACGCGCCGAAAAGCCCTCTGTTGCGACTGCGGAAAAAAAAGATGTATTCATAAGATTGCCTTTTGCAGGAGACGCAGAGAGCGAACTAGTCCGACGGCGCTTAACTACAGCTATCACGAGGGCATTCCCTGCGGCGAATTTACGCGTATGCTTCACAAACTCTCCCCTCCTACGTTTGGGAGGTAAAGACAGACTGCCGCTGGAGGCCACATCAATGTGCATTTATTCATTCACTTGCTCCTGTGGAGCAGGATACATCGGCCGCACAACGAGACGCCTGGTAAAGAGGGTGCGTGAACATATGCCCGCCTGTCTAGACAGAGGTGAGACCCGGTCGATTTCGAGTTCTATTCTCGCGCATTTAATCGATACGAACCACCGAGTCGATGCCAAGAAAGCATTTCAAGTTGTCTACCGGACACCAACATGCTTCTCTAAGGGCCTACGCCAACTGATACTAGCAACGGCCGAGGCAGTAGCTATACGGTTAGGGAATCCGGTGTTATGCTGTCAGAAAACTCTGATACAAGCGCTTTCGCTGCCGTGGCCAATGCCAACCCTTAGTGATGAAGCCATGCCGCCTCAAATCCCTAATCACGATGATGGGTACTCCGTGAACTCAACCCAAGAACATCACTCAAAGACTCTCTTACCCCCCTCCCCTAGCTCTGACGACAAACACCCGCCGACCTTCTCATGCGGGCGGCGTGGGGATGATGAGTGTTAGTGACTTAATAGCCCTTGAGACATCTATAAGCACTGTTGCTTTTGTACATTTTCATTCCTTCATGTAATTGTAGTGGCCTGAGGAAGAACTACCGAAAACGCGTGTTCGCCAACTTGACTTTTCAATTGTTACATGGGAATATTTGCGGAACATTTGCATTCGTTCTTAGTAACCCCATTTATCAGTTCTGCACTTCATTGATTCTGACTTAATTTGTTCCAGCTTGGTATATTTTTTTACAAATATTCCCCATTTGGACTACACATATGCCACAACTTTTATCAAGCTAGCATCTTTTTAGTTCATTTACTATGACAAAGTTTTTACCCTCCACTCTACCGAGGAGTATTTTGACATTTATTTACTATGTTCCTAAGCAGGCTACGTAACCACAGGAAAAGGCTCACTTAGATTTCGCCCCGATCTGGTAGAGAGCTGACTCTTTTGAGTCACAGAGCATGCGAGATTTTCCTGGATAAAAACGCCAGCTGTTATCTCTCTCTTTACAGTAACAGCCTGGTAGAACAGGAATTCCCCCGGAGTTGGAATATGAATGTAAGCAAACTTCACGCATTTGTTTTCTCTACAGTTTGGTGGAACTAAGATACTGATCCATCTTTTGAATTGTGGCCTTACACTTATTTGATTGTGCTTTACTGCTCTAAACATTGATTCTTAATCAAAGTTTACAGAACATCAGCTCGAGCATAAGGAATTAGTCAAGAACATCATTGGCATAGCTTCGATTTGCAACCTGATTCGAAAATTTCGAATAAAGAATTGCCCGAATTATTTATTGGCTAAGTTGTCGCTATTGCTCGGATGTTGAAATCACCCGTCCGGGAAAAGTTAACATTGTATTAAACAAAAATCATTTAAGTCAGTGCATACTTTGAACTCGAAATAACCACTATAGTTTTGCTGATAGAAGCAAACGGGTGAGTTCCAGTTAGCAGTTCGGAAGACGAAGATGTGATCACGGGAACAATCTATTTATTGCCCTGGCGTTTCGGATTCTCCCACTGGTTAGTTTAGGTTCCATTAACTTGCAATAGGAGAAGAACTGATGGAGATTTTCAGTTGCTAAAATTCAAGGCTGTGATAGTCGGCTACTCTACCCTTACAGTATGAGGACATGTCAATAAATTAGACTTTGCTCATCCGCTCTCAACTCCATTCCTGCTGTCTCTGCGTAAAATTTTTAATCTGTCCACGTTGGCGATGAATTGCTACCATTCACTAGACTGACGGCACTTATTTCATTCACAGGTCGTCTAGTTCGTCATGGAAAATGCTCTGTTTTCTGCATTAAATCAGGTAGAATGGAATACTTTTGGACGAAGCTACTGACATGTTCTCTATCTGTTAAATAACACTAGGATGGAACAGAAATTTCTCTTTTGGAGTCCAAATATATTGCGATTAATCATTCGGAGTATTTTTCTTCCCAATCAGTTTATAAAACCGTTGTATTGATAAAAAAAGCGTTCATATCGACCGCTCCGGAATTTATCCAATTATCCATATTTGTAATGTTAAGAAGTTATATTGTATGCCATCTTTCAGTTTACGAAATTCTGTTCCGGTAAAATCAGATATCATTATCTCTTCCCATTCTACAGTAGGTGGGCTAACTCACGAAATGTCAACCAAAATGTTTGGTTTCAAAAGGATTAATTAAGTAAGTTTGCAAAACTAATCATCGTGCAGGTTAATTCTATAATCATTCAAGTATCTTATGGTACCGGCTTCCGAACGAACTTTTTTCGGTTGCATGTAAAACTATACTCCAAAAAAGTGACTACTTTAGTAGCATGCATTTTTCTCATAAGCTTTCAGTTACCTTAAAAAGTTCAATTATATTTCACGCAAAATATGCACGTAAATATTCACTTTGTACAGTGCGTGACCTATTTCATGAAATGTTGGCTGAAATTCTGAAATGCTTTTTCGATTGGGAAGAATTATTTGGTCGTGGTTGTGATACCGATTATCTTAAGGCATACTTTTATAACATTTTGGACTTGGCAGGATGTCGGCCTTTAAATGCAGTTCTTTTTAATCTCCTGTAGAAAGCGTGCTTGTAAAAAATGACTACTTAAGTAGCATGCATTTTTCCCATTGATTTTCGATGGTCTTGGAAATTCAAATATATTTTGTAGAAACCACAAACAAAAATATGCTTTTTTTAGTCAATCAATAGAGAATCACGTCTTCTTTATATTTTATACTTAAGAAAGGAGTATAATTCGGTTTTAAAAAAGTTTCTAATTATGAGACTTTTTAAGACAGCGATATGTCTATTCACATAGCATCGTACCTGGCCGTTTACCACTGTTCCTCATGAAATGTACAACATGGTCCGCATCCATTGCAAAATTTTATGGACCCTGTATGATATCTGTTTAATGACATAGAAAAATATGGGATTTTCTTTACGCGGAACGCATGCACCTTGTAGACTGAAATCACTAAGCGCTAATGCAACGAATGATCAGGCTCCAAATTATTCGGCAATTAGGAAACTTTTCTAAAACCTAATTATACTCCTTCCTTAAGTATAAAATATAAAGAAGACGTGATTCTCTATTGAGTGACTAAAAAAGCACATTTTTGTTTGCGGTTTCTACAAAATATATTTGAATTTCCAAGACCATCGAAAATCAATGGGAAAAATGCATGCTACTTAAATAGTCATTTTTGACAAGCACGCTTTCTACAGGAGATTAAAAAGAACTGCATTTAAAAGCCGTCATCCTGCCAAGTCCAAAATGTTATAAGAGTATGCCGCAAGATAATCGGCATTACAACGACAACCAAGTAATCCTTCCCAATCGAAAACGCATTTCAGAATTTCAGCCAACATTTCATGAGATAGGTCACGCACTGTATATACTTGGTAAAAAATGAGGTATTCATCTGATTTAATACTCGAAGGTAGAGTATAATCCGGTTTTCGAAAAGTTTCGGATTATGAGATTTTTGACAGTTATATTAGGTGGCATATCGTAGTTTACAAATTTCTGTTCCGGCAAAGTGGGAAATCAGTATTCTGCAGACTGACCTGTATCAGCACTCATGCTTTGACAGTTGCACTCGAAATACAAACATTTGCCATTCAGCAAGCGAAACAAATTAATAAATCTCAAAGCAAGCTCCAGGTGCCTTCTAGACAGTTCTGAACACGACATTCTGAAATCCCCAAGTATTTATTTCCACTTTTAATCCCCACTTTTGCCGAAATGATGCGTGAAAGATGGTTTTCAGACCAGGGATTAAAAAACTGAACGGAATAAGGGGCAATACATTTGCCGACTTTTAACTTCACTCGTTTATTATCTTGGTGGTATCATCCACGTCAGAGAAATGACAGTGCATACTGAAGTTAAGTTCGATATCATAACAGTAAGTGATAACGCGCCATACTCATGGAAAAAATACAGCCTTGGGTGCCCTCAAGGGCATTTGGCTAAAGGCACTTCAAATTACCATGCATCTGTCAAATCTTATGAGTTCATTGTCGACATACGATCTTTCTTAAAAAATAAACAGTAGGACTCACGAATAGGACATTCCATCCCTCCTAATCTACACGGTTTCGCCCCTAATTCTAGGGAGATTAAGGTTAGGATTGGGGTTTATGATAGTACGTGGGAATAGGTACGTTCCTGGAATTAATCGCAAGGCCACCTGCGCTCCTTGGCAATTCCAATTTTTGTGCCTTGCCAAGTAAAGTTCCGCTGGTCACCTACGCCTGCGGACACTGAAAGTCTAAAACAATACATGCCCACTTTGCATCGCTGCAATTTCGCGACCCCCTCATACGCTCTTCATCTTTTCACCTTATGTCAAACTGGTTTGCGCGAGTAACTGACAGAGAGGTCATTACTTCGTGATTTATAACTAACTGCTTGGCCTTCATTTTAAAAAAGCACTATCTCTAATTGCCGATGGCAGTTACATCGGGAGCCTTATAAATACCCACATGGGATACAAGCACAATATTTGATCAAATGTATTTCGCCACACTTAAACCTATTATTTGGCTGGAAGGTCAATCTTCAAGTCCGGGTTAGATTGTTTCTCATGCATGAAAACTAAGCCCTTCAGGTCGCGCGTGTGTTATTTGAGTGATTTAACTTATCCCACTTGAGGAAACTAGACTTTAATCCCCATTTCCAAGAAGCAAGAAAAGTTGACACAGAGCCTAATCTTAGCACGGCTTATCGGGCTAAAGCAAATCTTATCCAACAGAATGCGACATCGTGCTGTCTGTTGAAACAGCGCGCCAAAAAGCTGATAGAGCTCAACCGTAGTGTTTAGATTTTTTGTTTTAAACAAATGCGAACTCTCAGCTTTTTTGCGTGTGTAAGGATACCTTAATACTTTGTCTGATCCTAGAATTATACAACTATGATTATTTTCCTGCTAAAAGGCTCTTGTATTTCAAGTGATGACTGCCATTTGATTTCATATTATTATAGGTAATCGCCCAATCCTTTGCGCTGGAGTCGTTTTTAGGCCCACACAATGTTGAAATTTCCCGATCAACTGCGAAAGGCAGATTGACTTAGACAAATTGCTTCAGTTTACATTATATTTGAAGAACTTGCTGAGTTAAAGCAGAATTATGAAAACCGTCGGAACTGGGAACTGCTTAATGCCGTTTTTTGAAAGAAGCCGACATTAAGTATTATACAAAGTCAAACTCATTTCCCATCTCCCGGGTAACCAATGGCTTCTACGAAAGGGAAGCTATTGATCTTCCGAAATACTCGTTTGATGGGATCAATTTTTGACTTATTCATAGGATCCAAAGCGCTGATTAGTGAAGTGATGTTGCATTGACCAAAACAGATGATAATCGCCTGGTGAATACGGCGAGCGTGGTCCGCCTTCCCAACAAAGTGCTTCCATAGTCTCATTCGCTTGTTGTGCAACACGGGGCCTAAAGTTCTCATGCTGAAAAATCACCATATCATGTACTTTATATCATGCTG